TAATTTGAAAAGCATACGCCCCATTCTATTAAATTAACAATTCAAATATTTTTATATCTGTAGGATAATATAACTTAGCACGTTATTTATAATATATTTATCAATAATCATTACCATGAAGACATTTTAAATTTTTATTTATTGTATTTATCTACATTAATTATACTTTTAGCAAAGCTTTATAATTTAAGACTTCAATGCTAAATAAATGTTAAACATTTTAATGACACTGACCATTTTCAGGTTTTAGAAGAACTTAAAAACAATTATTGATTAATCGAGAAAAACAACAAATTAGATTTAACCACAGACAATATTTCACACATCATTAACTTTGGTCTTTTTTTTAATTTTTTTTTTTCTTTATTGTCATTTAAAACCTTTAAATCAGTCAAGATCCAAATTCTTCTCAATTTTAAAGTGTCTGTTACGCTATTCAAGTACAAAATTATAAATTACTACACAATACATATAAATATTATTCATTGTAAGTAAACTAACATAACATGTTAGTTAACATAACATCAACCAAACGTATGTTAATTTGATATATTGATTTACATCAAAGAGCTTTGTTTTTTTTAAATTTTAAAAAAAAATGTCCATAGACTATTGGTTGGAATGAACAATATCAATATAAGGACATCTGAATCAATTAATTGTCAATTATTTTATTAAAATACAAAGACATGAGGTTTTTCTCATACCTAGTTCATTCCTTCCAAATTAATATTGGACCATTCAATTTTAAATTATCCAATTATTTTGCTGTCTTTTTACGCTTCTCGACGAAATTAAATCCTATTTACACTTCATGGTTAACGAGGTAATTTTAATTTCCCTAATATAATTATTATTAATAGATATTAAAATATGCAATTATAATATTTATTCACTTTAATTAATAGTTCCTTCTTCCATGGAAATTACAGGAAGCACAGAATATACAAACATAATTAAATGAAATTAATCATTCTGATAATTTGAAAATTTTATAATATTTAGATATCACAGGTTAATTAACAGAACTGAAAACAATTCTACAACGATTTTACTATTACATCAATATTACGAACAATTTAAATTTTAACACAATAATCGTATCATTATTGCTATGGCTTTAAACACTTCCCAATAATAATATTCTGATAATCCAGCCGAAATAAAAAAAAAATTAATGGATTATCGTCGTCGGTCTCACACAGTTGTTTTTTACAGTGTGCACATTTTTATTGATGATTGTTATTTCTGTGGTAGGTTCAATGTAATTAAAAACGGCAGGTAGCACACTTGATAGAAAAATGCCGTCGAATGAAATATTTATTGCAGTTTACCAATGGACCAGTTTAGCCTGTATGTGTGTACTCCAGTGTAAATCTATATATGTTTATATAATATATGCGTATAATCCAGTTTCACCAGTGTTTATAACAATCCCTACTCTTTTTCCCTTCATTATTATTATTCTATACATCCATACTTCTTCTTCCATTACGAATTCCCCCTGTGTGCTGGCGCTCTGATTTGTTGACGGGTTTTTTCTTACGGGCCAACACTATAATAATAATGATAGGGTTCTTCAGATAGCTTATCTCAGATAACCACTGTATTTTTATTTTAACGATGACCTCTTAAACGTAAAATTTCAATCTGTTTCTCACAGTTTTTCCATTTTAAAAAATATCCATTAATAAGAAAAAACAACCCGAAAACCGCGTTTCTTAAAATAAATACGAAATCTCGAAGCTGCCCTCTTCACCACACAACACTACTTTCACTTAAATAAATTAACGACCATAATCAAATTTATTTAACTTGTTCCACTCGTTTTACCCATACAGAAAGTTTATAAAAAAGCAGCGACGATTTTTTTACAACCGCTGATTTATTAGCAAACATTATTTTTTTAGTATAATATAAATGCACGTATGTATGCTTGCATTTATTTTTGACCGTGAACATCTCATTAGATTCCCTCGGGGTTAGATAGAGATCAAATCATCGTACTAAACACAGCTAATTAAAGGCATTCTGAAGAAATATTCAGTGGTACATAAATCGTCATTCATCATGGTGTGTATTAAGGTTGTACTAGTATACCTATACAAACGACACACATGAGCTTATATTTAGTTTACAGAATAGAAATGAACTGAACATCGACTCAAAAACGAGTCTACAAAATGTATATTTATACGAACCTAATTAGAGACGAACATATTACCTTGACAGCAATGAATTTGCGTTTTATTAGGCATAGTTCTCATGACTACGGAATATTGCAAAACAATAGGTTATACAAATAATTTTTTACAATAATTTTTAGAGTTCGAAAATAGAAATCATAAAGACAGTATATCTAGACTTAAAAACCCGAGTTAAAGCGTGCCCATATATCTATCACTACTATGCAACGTTATTCTTGCAGGTATATATCATTGTTTCCATAAATAGTTAGGTATGAATTGGATTTTGTCACTTATCACAATTCCTTATTATTCTACTACAACACTTCACAGTCAAGACAATTTATTGCGTAACTGTTCAGTTATCTGTTCAGGTATATCTGTTCAGAAAGACTTATCGAATTACCAATGAATGGTTTTAAATAATTTTATGATATTCGAAGGTCTGTCATTAGTGTATAGTGTATACACGTTCGATTAGTAACAAGTTTTTACTCGCAACTGATTTAGTTTAACTATAACGAATTTATTCAAGATCACAGAAAGACGTAATTTTAATATTATTTTATTCATCGATATAATAATCTATTGATTACAATATTAATTAAATTTAATACTGATAATTAATATTGTTATTAATATAACACAGTTATATATGTATGATTTTATACAAGTATATTTAAATGGCGACATCAGGAACAGGCCAGATAAGACCATAGCCCTACAGTTGAGCAAAGGTATTTATACAAAAAAATATTTTGGGGGTATTTTAGGTTGTACTTCTATAATCTGTATACTAATTTTACTCTATAAAATCATATTTAATAATATTTCTGAATTTCTGGGGGGGGAGGGAATTGAATCCCTGAACTCCTGTACGTGGATGATTGGGAACTGGTCAGACCTTGACCATAATAATATGGCCATTTTTAATAAGGAAAAAAATTGTAATAGTTCACCGACAAAATACAAAAATACGTAATTAAGAGGAATATTACGTACTGAATATTATATGATAATATGAGTACAACTAAAATACAACTACTTACAACTTAAATGTGTGTGTCAAATGTAATATTGTTTGTATTTATATTTAATTAATTTAATCTAATTTTTGTATGACCCTCATAATTTTTGGTATCTTATTGACCCTACCTAATAAAATATCCTGGCATCACCACTGATATATTTGCTTATATTTTAACAGTATCTAATTTTATCTACAGTTAATAACGCTTCTAAAACAAAAATAATTAACTAAAATAATTTTAAACAGCAATCCAATATCAATTAATTCATACAATTTAATACTTTTAAGATCCAAACTTTTCAAAGTCCAATTTAACTTTTCGTAAATTTAATCCACTATCATAGTTTTTAAATTTTAATTACTCTAATTTAGTATTTTGCGTCGCATATAAGGGATACATTGATAAGAACTTGATCGAATGGGTCATGTGTCACCCGGGTGATAGTCTAAAAAGTCTTCGGGTCAAGGATTATAGAGTACTTGTGCGTTCATTCGCCTATTCGTTATATTTTTTTCCTATTCTTTTATACACACTCTCGGAGACCATAAAGGTCAATCACTAAATTATGCAATATTTTCTATCGAGGAAATTATATTTTAAATGTATTAATTTGTTCAGTATACGTAGATTATTTTTAACAATTCGCACATCCTTTTTCAAGATAAGGGTAGTTTGTCATGAAACAAACATTTTAGTATTAATTCTCAGTGTACGTAGGAATTAAATATAGAAATTGGGTGATTGTAAAAAATCGCGAAAAATCGTATAACACAATATTCCTTTAAAATATATATATTGAAAGCTATAACTAAACCAACTATAATATTCAGAACTGATTTAAAACCTACGAGAATATACATTATTATTAATAAACAATCAAATAAATAACGGGTATGTTCCTTTCCTATCGCCTCCATCAGAATTATTTACATAGAAATTGGTTTATAACGATTTTTCTTCTTTTCGGAAAATGAATGTCAATATTAAACAATGGTTTGATAATATACACACATTAAAATATTAAATATGACTAGCCACTATACTCGTGTGTGTGATTGCAGAATGCCCTAGTCAAATAGAAAACATACGCATGATATCTAGATAATGGGATCAAAAGGCCATTGAACTTTTAACCCTAACCTACAACCTATTCATAATAAAACGACCGGGACTTCAGATAAAAAATATCGGTTTTTGAAACGCACGGATGCATTATCATAGCTTAACTATTTCAAACTATGAGATATGTTACACGATCAATATTTTACCATTTACTCTATATTGATACACACTTCAATTGCACCAATGACCACAATAATAATAATAACAATTGGTATTATTATTTTCAACTGCCCGAGTTAATTGCAAATATTTACTAATAATATATCAATAATAACAGGTTTTTATTTAATACAATTTTTAAAAATTATACTTAGATGTTACAAATAAAAATATGCAATTAACACTAACACCGGTGATAATAGTGAATAGATCAAGTAAAAATACGTAAGAAGATATGAAGTCAACAAATATTTTCCCTTGAGGGGTTTGTGATGTTTTTGTACGAAACCCCTCGAAAAAAGTCGTATAATGAGTTCAATAAGTAATTAAATCTATCTACAGACATAATAAACAAGCCAAGGGATCGTTTATATAGCAGTAGTTTACAATAACCCAAATTTTAAGTTCACCTTCAAATTGACCCAAACTCTATAGAATTATAATATTTATGTCGAACAAAAACTGGCGTTCGTGGTGAGAAAAAAAAACAAAATATTCTTACCGGAATAACACCATGGAGGCCAAACGACAGGGCTAGATGCGTCCAAATCCCGCATCATGTTACAAGCGACATGATAATCCTCGGTACACTTGATCGAAAAAACAAAACAAAACGGAAAAAAAAAAACGACGTATAATCCGTTCGCTTATTTAGCGTGTGTCAACCGATCGCGAGAGAAAACTTGACCGAATCGTAAAGATCGAAGTATCTGTTTCCGGTAACGTAGGCCCACGATGCTCGGTGGTATGATGGTAGCGGTAACCACGACGGTACTGCGGTAGTAAGCGTCGAAGACGACGACGAGACGGAAAAACGACGAAAACCGAAACAGAACAACTTTCGAAACGCACAGCCGGCTACGACGACGTCGGTACGGGTACGAGTACTGCAATCGAATGCGACAAACGTAAAAGCATAGATTTCGGAAAAAAATAATTGATAATAATTTAAACGATGCAAAGAAAAATGCGAAAAAAAAACAAAAAAAAAAAAAATAATAATAATGAAAAAACAACGGACGAACACGCGACGAACGTGTGCGACTGACTGCGTGCACGTCAGGTCGCGGACGAACTGGAGCGCGGCAAGGACGTTTGACCATTGACGACGCGCGCGCCGGCAGACACGAGCAGAGGCGGCCGCGGCGGCAGTAGCGACACGCACACGGACGCGGCGAACACGGGCCGGGTGCGTATACAACGACACCGCGCACGCACACAAGCGCGCCGACACGCGGCCGCACGCACGAACAGCCGACGACGGCACCTGTACGAGAGCAAACGATTGCGCTTGCGCATCGGCGGCGGCAGCGGTCATCAGGTGGTAATAATCGTCGTCGTGCGCGAGTGCCCCCTAACCCGTTCCTTCCACTCCGCGTCGGCGACCGTCCGCGAACGATACGGCCGATGTTGCTGCCGCTGCTGCTGCTGCTGTTGCTGCTGCAGGTACCGCGTGCGGTTACAACCGTAACACACCTGCCCGCGCGCCAGCGTCCGCACCGATTATCATAACCGCGGCGCGCGTCATTCATAAAACGGAGGAAAAAATACAAAACCGAAAACGATATCCGTTTACAGATAGTTTTACCACCACCTTGGTCGGGGGTTCGTCGCCTACCCTTCTTCCATTTTAACGGTTTTTGCCGTCCAACTAAGCGATAGAAACACACATCGGTCCACTCTTATATAATTTTTTCCGTTTTTTTCACCAATTAAAGAATATTACCCCATGTGCTTCCTATGTGCACCGAAAGTTTCGTATAGCGATTTTTCCAGACGCACAAATGAAGAAATTTAGATTTTCCATTTTTTCTGTCGTTTCCCCGAGAACCGGCAAACAATTTAAAAATTCCTTAAACATAAAACTTGCAATCGAAATAAAAATAAAAGTTTTTTCAATTTTACGACCGTACAAAGAATTATAGTTAAACATTCGACATTAACGATCGACAAGAAGAAATGTAATAATATATATTTTGACGAATTCAGCTAATGATTATTTTAAATCTTCAATCTGCATTAATAAATCATGTTCCATAAACACAACTTGTTGGCAATGACGGATCCAGAGCGGGGAGTCGAGAGGCCGTGACTCCTTCAAGACATTCTGAAGACGATAGTATGTTGAAAACGCAGAATGCGCAAATGCTCTACTTAGATCATTCCAATTCCCAATAATATTTAATAATTTAATAAATAATAAGTATAAACCGCACCCGTCATAATATTTACAATTTTGAAAATCAACTATACCAAGTACAACAATGGTGGGCACAGTGGGCTAAAATGTAATTTAGCTTCCATAAATTACAATTTTGAAAAATAACAAAATGTTATTTTTACTGAAAATTGTTATTCCCTAGATGTTATTAATTTGTATTATGTCATTAGTTGATAAGTTGTTCAAATTTTGTCTCAACAAATTCCAATAGATAATAGTTATTATCAGCATATAATAAGTAATACATACTGGTTATAATGTTCTCGCGCGTTACCTGTTACTTAACTTTTGACTAAAGCGGTGAAATAAAATCAAGTAAAATTTATAAATTTGGTTGAAATGAGTTCTTAAGAACAAGGTAAGTGAGGTTTATTATATATATATTACAATTATTAATTTATATAAAATAATATTTAATTATTAAAAAACATTTTTTAATTTTTTTTTTTATTTATATGTCAGTCTAAATTTAAAAATTTACTTAATTTTACTTTTTCAAACTAGATCTCAGATAAAGTACTGATATCATTTTTCAACTTTCAATATTTTTGTTTGCCTCTTTTTGCCCCTCTATATTACATAAACATACAATCTCCGAGAAACCAACAAAAAAAAAAAAAAAAAAAAAACATGTAAATTTTATGAATTCGTAAATTTATAAATATTATTTAGGCTTATTGAATTTTATCAAGCCTTCCATTTTGTTAATCGGATTATTATGTAAGCTATACCTACTAAGTATACCACATAAACCTATTAATTTTAAAAGTATAAAATATGTATAAAATAAACTATATATATTTTTCTAAATAATTCTATTTTACTAATATTATTTTTTTTAAATAATTTAATCAAACTATTTTAGGAAGTGCTTTTCAACAACTAAAAAAATTTAAATACATAGACCTTTATATGATTTTAAGAAACAATGGATTTATCAAACCACAAAGTGTCCAGTCAAGAGATTTATTATTTTTGAAAATTCGTGAAAAATATTCTGGCAAAAATTGGGGTTGTAATTATATTGATAAAATTAAAAATAATATACTTAATTTTACAATAATGGTTGCACGAAAATTGCATCAAAGTAATAGGATACATGACAAATTTATTAAAAAGAGTACAATGATTGACTTGAAATAATATTTAAATTACCTTTGGCTGAAATATCTTCCAATAAAAACGAAATAAATCTTATAGTTTGTCGTCCAAGTAAATAATTTTTAAAATGTAGAGAAAAAACGAAAAAAAATGAAAGTGTAATCTCTTGTGAAATCGTACACTTCACCTGAACTTGTATTTGCAGTTTCATCGAAATTTCAAAAATCAGGAAAAAGAGATGCAACTCAAATATTAAAAGAAACCACTGAGTCACCCACCAGAGCTGCGTAGTACAAAAAAAGTTTAAATAATTTTGATCGCAATATCCCAATTCCATTTACTTGTGAAGAAACTTTGGCTTTTATGGTACAAAACACATTAACCAAACAACAGTACATAAATATTAGACTTGAATCAAAAAGACGTAATTGTGATATATATCCGCCATATGAATACATTGTTAATGCTAAAAAAGAATGTTATCCAGATAATTTACATGTGTCTGAAACCAATTGTTTTATTCCAATACAAGATTTATTTAATCATACAACTCATAGAATTTTTAAAATATCAGGGGTACCTAAAGTAATTGAAATGCAAATGAAAAAATTTGAAATCATTTACAAATGGGGTTGCGATGGTAGTAATGGCCAATCACAGTACAAAGTCAAGCTTAGCACTTCAACTTCTGATTCGGATTGTAGTTTTTATGTTTTATTTAGTACCATTACAGCTACATGGATTTAAAGATGACAAAATTATTGATTTGGAAAAACCCTCGCCCGTCATCAACCAAATTTTGTCGGCCAATCAAGTTTACATACTAGAAAGAGACTATAGAAAATACGAAACAAGAAGTAAGGGATATTGAAGACCAATTGAAAAATGTCATACCCACTGATATAATACTTGAAGGCAGAAATATTCAAATAGAGCATAAAATATTATTTACTATGGTTGATAGAAAGGTAAAATTAAATAGTTGTAGATTTCTAATATTAAAAATTAAAAGTTAATACTTTGTTATCGTTTTCACATAAGGTGTGCAATTCATTAACAAACACATCCAGTTAATCTTGCTACATATGTGGCTGTATACCCAAGCAATTTAATGACAGATGAAATGTGCAATACAAGGAAAAATTTAAATCCAACCATCTACAAATTCAGATTATCAATTCTCCACGCTTGGATTAGATTCTTTGACTGCTTATTACGTGTGTCATATCATTTGCCATTTAAGTGTTGGAAAGCAAGTCATTTTCATTGAATATTTTATTTTGAATTTTAAATTTTATAAAATAATAGATAAATAATAATCATTCATTTTTTTTTTTTTTTTTTTTTTGTGGGTACAATCACCCGAAAATAAAGAAATTTATGCAATGCGTAAAATTAAAATTCAAAAAGAATTTCGTTTTGAAATGGGTATATTAGTAGATGTGGTGTTACAAAGTAATTAATATTAAAATAAAATTTAATATAACATAAAAATCGTTGTTTTATATTATTAAGGGCATGGTACTACCAATGACGGTAACACAAGCCGTAGATTTTTCAAAGATGCCGAAAAGTCTTCTAAGATAACTGGAGTAGACGTAAATTTAATAAAACAATTTAACAATATTTTAAAAGCAATGGCAAGTGGACATAATATTAATAAAGTTGCATTTGAAAAATATAGAATTGAAACCGCTAAATATTTTATTGCACTTTATCCGTGGTTCTACATGTCTTCAAGTGTCCATAAAATATTGATACATGGAGGGGGGTTATACGTCATGCAATACTGCCAATAAGAAATTATATACATTTATTGGATACTAATTAATTTAATTGTTTTAATAGATAATATAAACTTTTTTCTAGACCAATTATCAGAAGAAGCTTAAGAGTGTAGGAATAAGAACTACAAATATTACAAAGAACACCGCACTAGGAAGAATTCACGACTAAATACAAATGAGGACCTTATGCATCATCTTCTTGTCTTCTAACCCCTATATATCAAGTTTGAAAAACCTACCGAAAAAGGACATACAAGAATTTTCAAATGAACTAAAATCATTATTATTGTTTTCAATTTAATATAAAGAATATTCAATGAAAATATAAGTATAATTTGATTTTAAGTATTAATATATAAATTATATTTTCCCTCAAATAACTCTATAAGCTTTTATAACATAGATTTATGTACCTAAAATAAAAAAAAATAAAAAATTATGAAATTCAAAAATGTGCTCCCTCTCCACTAGCCCCTAAATTAAGGGGCAAATTACAAAACTGATGCAAAATTTGGGTTTAACAGCCTTTAAAATATACAATTTTCGAATTTACAGGATGCATTAAGTACAAATTTATGAGTTATTAATTTATGGAAGCAAAATTACATTTCAGCCCACTGTGCGGCATTCTATGGCCAGGGAGAATGGGGAAATCCGTTTGGTGTACTATTAGATTTGTTTTTGGTTACTGTCATTATATTATTTTTATATGTAATAGATAAAAAATAAGTATGTATAAGAATTAGAAATGGGAGTAGCAATAACAATAATTAGTATTATTTGTTGGATTATCATATTGTCTTTGATTACAGGTTATGTTTTTTTCATTTGTTTTAATTTTCCGTAATTCTGTTGTTACATTTTAACTTACAATGTTATACAAATATAATTTAATCGTCACTTACCGTTTTATTATTATTAATATTATACTACCTATTATTATGGATCAAAAATGTTAATATTTTAAAACTCTACACTCATACTTTGGAAATATACTAGTAATGTATTTTAATTTTCTTTTTTACCAAATAATTTATAGCACTCTTGCACACAGTCAAAAAATAATGAAGAAGAGGAGGATATTGATGATCTAGGACAGGGGTGGCAAATAAGTGGCACGCATGAGATTTGCAATGGCACTCGAAAAATTTTTATTTGTTCATATATATTTATAGATTTTTAAGTAACACACAATAAATTGAATTATCAATTGCACATATTAATAATATATATTTCACAACCATGTATTGTGATCTTATATTCAGTGTTGGGACTTATCTAGATAAATTATCTAGATAGATTTTTTGTCATCTTTTATCTTATCTAGATAAATAACGCTAAGTTATCTAATTACTTATCTAAGATAAAATTTTTACTTATCTAGATAATTGTCTGAATTCTTGCCAAGATCAGAGTTATTTTTATTCTTGTACGGAGACGAATCAGGAGAATAAATCAGATATCATCAAAATCGGTCCAGCCATTCTTGAATTATAAATTCTGTAACTAACCTGACTTTTTTTATATATAGATTTTGTATTTATAATTATAATTTGTGTATTATTAATAAGTAATTATTATTTCTTGGTATGACATTTTGTTTGTATTTTCAAAGTGTGTGTTCACTTCAACTAGAAGTTGTATTCTAACAAATAATAATAATTTAATACTTTTTTTTACATTATTTCTAATTTTACATAACTTTCTATATTATAATCATTATTTTTTCATTTATATTTTACATTTCTATTTTTCTGTGTTAATAAAAATAATTTTGGCACGGCTAAAAAATTTTTTTTTTAATTATGTCATAGATTGGCACGTTGAAAAAATTCTATTTGCCATCCCTGATCTAGAAATTCCTGTGATATCATCATTAATAGTAATTTACTTGTAAAATAATAAATGTGAATAACTAATATACAAATTTTTCTTGAAGATTTTAAATTTTAAAATTATATTATTTTATTGAATAATAATAATATCGATAAGTATAATAAGAGTAAATCAGGTGCTCACGGAAAATATATTATTATAGAACCTAAACAAATATCAGTAGTTAATCTGACACAGACACTGTACAAAAAAGTATTGTGGTAAGTAAATTTAACTATGCATTCTTAAATTTTATTTATGCAATAAAATAAATAAAAAAAACCTAAAAACCTTATATAATAAATCTTATATATTTATTTATTTATATATATATATTTAAAATCTATATTAATCTATTTAGCATTATTTATATTTTATTAGTGGCTTATTATAAATTATATTATTTTAATTTAAATTATGTTGCTAATTTTATTTATGTTTTAGAAGCATATAACAATAGTTACACCTGACAATTCATCTGAAACACTAAAAACTAAAAACACATTTTATCCAGACATTGGCCATTTCCTGAACATAAAATATATCAATGATTTCACTAAACATAAATTTAGTAATATTTAACATATTAAGCTCAGGGGGGGGGGGGTATTTACCACTTAATCCCATCTTGGATCTGCCACTGATAAAGTATGGAGTATATTATGTTAAATATGTTTATAATTTATTGTAATTTGTAGTTGGTCCCTTCCAGACCTTTGCTCTAGATCCGTGCCTGCTTGTTGGTATAATATTTTTACCTCAAAATTTATAAAATTTACTTATGTAAAATAAAGTTACTTGAGAACCGTTCTTTACTGAAGATATAATACCTTGAAAAAATACATTCAAATTCCAAACACAGTATTTATAATAGTTACTACAAAAATGAGTCAAAAAAATTATATTGAGTTAATATAATTATTTACAATATTTTATAAATTCTACGCTAAACACATTGAAACACAATGAGAAATTCTTTAGTATATTACATATTTATTAAACTTTTACTCGAATATTAAGTACATTATTTGAATTAAATATCTTACAAACATATGTTTAAATAATTTTTATATTGTGGGAATGAAATCAGGAATAACGAATAATAGAAGACAGAATAATGATGGGACTTAGTTCGGTTTACGTTTGTAGATCGCAGTTATTTAAAACTTCATTTCATCATACATCACGACGGCTTTATAGCTTAACCGCAATGGTCAAAATCCACTAATCATCCTATTTAAATTTAAAATTATATTTTTTTTTTTTTAGATTTATAGAATTTAACATTGATTTTATACAAACTATAAGATAAGTATAGATACATTACTAGCTATCATCTCATATAATAACAAAACCAATATTTTTATTTCCTATTATGGAAAAAAAAGTAGCTGAAAAATTTTTATTTGCTTTAATAACTATATGTTTCGAGAATAATTTTATTTTAATCTTTGTTTTAACTTAAAAAATGTATTTATATATATATAACTACATAATGAAAAATGTAAACTTTCTTTAAAAATAAAATATTATTTTATTATACGGTAGAATATTGCCAAGTGATTCACAATTTAAAAATTCAACTATATAATCATTAAATTTTTACTAACTAATTATTAAAATACGAAAATATTAAACTTATTAATTTACAATGGTTCACTACAATTTAATTTACATATACGTCCACCACCTTAAAAACGTCTTAATCGCGATCGTCCACAAGACCTTATTAGTTGTTTGTATAAAGTATATTATTATAAATTATATTATGTCTAATTAATTCTTCATCTTTAGACTAATATATTATTGCTATATATTGTTTAACCAAACTTAAGTACTTATTACTATTGCTTACATTATTATAATATAACTATTACTTATTGTTAGGTCTTATAACATATAGCTCTAAAAAAAAATTGTTATAAACGCTATAATATATTCTTAAAAAATATTCATATAAGTGCTTAAATATGCACTAAAAATACTAAAATATGCGAGAAAAAAATTATATATGAAACAAAAATTTCCCTCATTAAAAAAAATGTATCATGATCACTCACTTATCGATCGCGTGGCTATATGATATAAATAAATGTATAACTTATACCATTAGGAAAAAAATATTTAATTAACATTAATTAATTACAAATATAAATAATTAATACCTTATTAAACCTAATTAAGTACTTGTTATTACTATGAAAAAATGTTTTAAAAGCTACGGAACTGTAAAAAACTAAAAAAAAGCTAAATAGCACTTCTATTTC